TATTATTTTTATCCAAATAAATAATCGAAATAGAATAATTAAATATGAAATGAGTAATATACGTAATTAATGAAATATTTAAAGAATAAATTAAATAGAATAATATTTCTTTTACTTATCGAATTAAGATAGTTAATTAAAAAAATGTTGAAATGAAAAATTGAATTAAATATTATTATTTTTAATGAAATAAATAATCGAAATAGAATCATTAAATATGAAATAAATAATATACATAATTAACAAAATATTTAAATAATAAATTAAATTGAATAATAATTTTCTTACTTATCGAATTAAGATAATTAATTAAAGAAATAGTGAAATGAAAAATCGAATTAAATATTTTTATTTTTATTCAAATAAATAATCGAAATAGAATAATTAAATATGAAATGAGTAATATACGTAATTAACGAAATATTTAAAGAATAAATCAAATTGAATAATAATTTTTTTACTTATTGAATTAAGATAATTAATTAAAGAAATAGTGAAATGAAAAATTGAATTAAATATTATTATTTTTATTCAAATAAATAATCGAAATAGAATAATTAAATATGAAATGAGTAACATACGTAATTAACGAAATATTTAAAGAATAAGTTAAATTGAGTAATAATTTTCTTACTTAACCAATTAAGATAATTGATTAAAGAAATGGTTAAATGAAAAATCAAATTAAATAGTATTATTTTTATTCAAATAAATAATCGAAATAGAATAATTAAATATGAAATGAGTAATATACGTAATTAACGAAATATTTAAAGAATAAATTAAATAAGATAATATTTTTTTACTTATCGAATTAAGATAATTAATTAAAAAATAGTGAAATGAAAAATCGAATTAAATAGTATTATTTTTATTCAAATAAATAATCGAAATAGAATAATTAAATATGAAATGAATAATATATGTAATTAACGAAATATTTAAAGAATAAATTAAATAGAATAATATTTTTTTACTTATCGAATTAAGATAATTAATTAAAGAAATAGTGAAATGAAAAATTGAATTAAATATTATTATTTTTATTCAAATAAATAATCGAAATAGAATAATTAAATATGAAATGAATAATATACGTAATTAACGAAATATTTAAAGAATAAATTAAATTGAGTAATAATTTTCTTACTTAACCAATTAAGATAATTAATTAAAGAAATGGTTAAATGAAAAATCGAATTAAATATTATTATTTTTATTCAAATAAATAATCGAAATAGAATCATTAAATATGAAATGAATAATATATACATTCAGATAATTAACGAAATATAATTTTTAATGAAATATTAAATAATCAAATATGTTAGAATTTTTTTTGTTTAACTGTTTTAATATGTGATTAAATGAATCTATTTATTGCTTTATTAATATGAAATCTGATTGTTTAATTTTGAAGATACGATATTTTATTTGTAATATCTTGTATATGGTTTTAACATGTATTATTTTTGTAGGATGGAATATAATATGGACAATGATCTGAGAGCTCATTTGAAAAAAGTTACGACGTATTGTAACTTTTTCAGTTATGCGACCGTGATTGAGGAATTGGATGAGGAGCACATCGACGTACTCCATCGGTCGTTTTTATGGTCCTTCTATCCATTGAAGGACGTGCAGTTCTCTGGATAGATTATTGATTCGTTATTACTCTGGCTGCTTAAACCAGTCGATGGCGATCAACTTTTTTTTGCTATGGGAGATGGGAAGGTATCGAGATTCTCGATCCTTGAATTTGCCCTCATTACAGGCTTGAGATGTATAGGAGAAGAAGAAGCGAGAGCCCATATTATATCAAATAAAAGGTTATTGGATTTATATTTTGGAGGTAAATGGTCGGTTACACCACCACAGTTAGAGGACGCATTTAGGAGATGCGATCACATGTTAGACAAGCTGAAGCTAGGATTGGTGTATAAACTGGAAAGTATATTGAGGTGTCGACATCGTAGGATGTCGATTGACCTTTTTTCATTAGATATTGTTGATGATATCGATGCTTCCAACAGCTTTCCATGGGGTCGAAGATGTTACTCCGATATTCTCCATGTATTCAGGAGGGTACATACTATGCCAAAATCAGAGAGGGGCGACCACAAATATGATGTATATGGCTTTTGCATGGCTTTGCAGGTAAATATTCAGCTTAACGTAATGTGTGTTAAACTTTTTTATTAAATGTATAAATAATTTTTTTTTTAATTGTTGCAGACGTGGGCATATGAAGCTATCCCTGCTTTGGGTAACAAATGAGCGATCAGAAGGGAGACTAGCTACCCACGAATGCTTCATTTGCGAGCACATAAGAAACCATCGGCTAAAGATTTGACAGCTATCCTCGACGATCCTCAGGTGAGTAATATATATTTGCAATTTCTATTATACGTACATTAACTCGGCTCAATACATGCTCGTTAACATGTTGAAATATGATATATCAGCTCGAAGTTCATGCTGGGTTAGTTGTTTCGATGGAAGAGGGGTATCAAATATATGTACGTGAATTGCATGTTCGACCTATTGAAAACGATCCAGTGTTTGAGTCCGTTCCGAATAGAAATAGGGTACGTTTATTTAAGATCATTATTTATTCTGATTTATAATATTCATGTGTGGATTATTAATATTAATTGTCTTCTCTGTGTAGGAGCGTCATCCAGTAGAACGACGAGCACTTCCACGTAGGAGATCTCCTTCACCTCCACCGATGAGATCACCTCTACCGCCATTATCACATTTTCCGAGGAGATCTCCGTCTCCCGCACCCACCCACCTTCCACGTGGATCGCCTACACCCAGTCAGACCCATCATTCAGATGATTTCTTTGCACGCATGACTGGTATTATTAGAGAGGAGCTGGAAACGATGCGACGTGTATTTACGATAGAGGTAGTAGCACTGCGAGAGGAGATAGGGGTGCTGCGACGGGATTTTACGACAGAGGTAGTAGCACTGCGAGATGAGATTGGAGTGCTGCGACGAGATTTAGGAGAGCTTCATACTGAGGTTGCAGTATTTCGGGGCGATGTAGCAGGCTTCCAAGGTTCTATCAGAGGGAGTGTTGGGGAGACTGGTGTTTCTCGAGATTGGTGGGCAACGGCCGCAGGAATCGATGAGTTTTTTGATTCGGTACCGGAGCCTGGGAGGGAGGGGTTGGAGGTCGGGTCGGTGGTGCCGGAGGAGGTCGGGATGGCCGGGGTGGAGGTGTCGGAGGAGGTCGGGATAGCTGGAGCGGAGGAGGCCGGGGTGGAGGTGCCGGAGGAGGCCGGGATGATAGAGGGGTTGGAGGGAGGGACAGATAGGAGTGCCGGAGGGGGTGACCGAGGAGGTAGCGGAGGGGACACCAGAGGTGGTAGTAGAGGGGGATGAGGTGGTTGCGGAGGACGAGAGGACGCCAGAGATGACGGATGATGATGTAGTATTCGTGTCGGAGGGGGCGACGGAGGTGCCGAAGGATAAGAAGCGTGCTAATGACGCGCCAGAGCTGATGGTCGGTAAAAGATCAAGATTGCCGTCACAGTACATTGTTTCCTCATACACGGCCGAGGTGAAAAGAAGGGGGTTTGTGGATGGGACGTCCCCAATCTTTTTCGCGACGTCGACCCGGTCAGACAGAAGGCGTTCGATGATTGGTTCAAATCCCTTAAGTCCAAGTAAGTATTTTATGATTTTACTACTATTTTTTTGTATTTTTTGTAACTTTTTTTCATTTTTTAGAGATAGTTATACCATCGGCTGTATGACCGTGCCCAACGCTAAAAAGTGGTTTGAAGATGTACTGACGACCTCAGCTTGGCTCGCCGATGATTTAAGTTTTTTGAGTTTTCATTTATTATATTTATAGAAGTTCTTGGTTCATTTACTTAAACGTCTCTATCTTTTTTGTTGGTGTTTTTTTTTTGTTTCAGCATATCGACTTGGCTATGGAATTGTTACGCGATCGGGCTCACATATACCCGAGATCTTATGACAGTCCTAGTCGAGTTATCCTGAGCTCTAAGTTTGTTCGTATCATAGATATTGAGCATCACGAGCTCCTAAACAAGGGGAATGAATATGTTCTGTCCGAGTACATGGTATGTGTACGACTCTGATCACAGCTGTCTGACACAAAGTCAATTGGAGCAAATACTAGAGCCAATGGCTGTGATCGTGCCCATGATGGCTAATCAGGCGATGATTCGAGTAAATGACAGATTAGCCATTGTGCGGAACATGACGAAGGCAAAACAAGAAAGATCATAAGGATTTAAAACTTCTTAATTTTAACATTTAATTTTCAGTTACATGTTATCGAACTAATATATTCTTTTTCGGTTGTAGGGGCGACTGTAGCTTATTTGCAATAAAGTACATAGAGTTTTTGAGCATTGGCCGCAATGTTGAGACAATAAATCAGTCTTGGATTGATATGCAGAGGCATAAATTAGCTTGCGACTTGTATGAATATAACTGTGATCCTTAGTGCATTGTATATTATTTTATTGAAATGTAAATGTTGTTACTTCAGTATGATTCGTATTGTAATGTAATAATTTTTTTAAATATTTAATTAACAAAATATTATTATTTTAATTTACATTGTTTTTGTGTCTGTAATCTCTCCATATTGTCAGTTAATATATATCGTTGTCTCACTTGTATTAAAAGAAAAAAAAGAAAATATTATTATTTTCATTTACATAAGTTATCGAAATATAGCAATCAAATATTAAATAAACAATATACACACTACGATAATTAGCGAAATATAATTTTTAAAGGAATATAAATAATCAAATATATGTGCCAAATGAAGATAATTAATGAAAAAAATACTTAAACGAAAACTCGAAGTAAGTGCTATTATTTTTATTCAAATAAATAATCGAAATAAGTAATTAAATATGAAATAATTAATTTTTTACTTAACCAATTAATATAATTAATTAAAAAAACTTAACCAATTATACATTTATTATACTTAACCTATTTTTTAATTCAAATATGCTGTTAGAAAGAGTAATTAAATAATGTGATTAAAATTACATCCAATTTAAATTGAGAATATAAAAAACATATTACAAATAAAGAATACATATGATTTATATAGATACTACACATCCGTCGAGTCATTGTTTAGTGGGATCTGGCTTGTTCAAAATCGACGTGTATGCCCTGTAGCGCCGCACCTCTCGCACTTACGCGGTTGTGAAAACTCTCTTGTAGATGGTATTCTAGACGTCCGTCTACAACCAAGAGTACGCAGTCGAACTTCAGGTGACAACAAATTATTAAGTGCTAGAATATAATCAGGAACTTCCCACTCGACTTCATTTGGTAGAGGAAATATAGTTTCGACATACGCTACTCTCCAAAAATAACCCATGTAATGACTGCATAAGCTGTGTGGTGGAAATCCTCTATACATAGCCACTGTGATAGCATGCGCACATGGAAAACTCTCCAACTGAAATTGTCTACACGTGCAGGTATTGTCATTCAAGTCTACAATGTGTCCAACATTACGCCCACATCTCACGGAGAAGCGAAATTGATCTAGTGGTTCCACAAATAGAGCTTTTGCCACTTCCAGAGTTTTGAATAGTCGATCTTCCTGTGCCGGAGCTAGCACACTTGTGTAATTCTGGGATTCCTCACGTCGATCATAAAACCACTGTTGCAACTTGCTACGAATATGTTCACTTATTGCGAGAATTGGTAACTCTCGATCCTTCTTGAATAATGTATTGAGCGACTCCGCATTATTCGATGTCATCATGTTGTATCGACGTCCTGGAAAATGTGACCGTGCCCAATGTTCGACCCTCATATTTGATAGATATTCCCATGCACTTTCTGATTTATGTTCTATTTTGCCCATGAACTTCGTAAACTCTTCAAAGCTATAAGCTTCTGCAGCTCTCCTAAATAATGCAACGATGCCACTGCCCCGGTACCTAGTCTTCAGGTTGCCCTGAATGTGGTACATGCAATAACCATGATGTGCTTCCGGAAAAACTTTGGCTATACCATTTATTATTGACTGTCCCCGGTCAGTCACAAATGCAAGGTTCTCAATGTCTCCAATTACTTCTCTGAGCTTCGTGAAGAACCAACGCATTGTTAGATCAGTCTCTCCATCGACAATGCCAAATGCAAGATGGTAAATTTGGATGTTGGCATCTTGACATGTAGCAATAATCAGCTTCCCTTCATATCTAACTTTTAGGGCTGTACCATCAACTAGAATTAGAGGTCGCATCACATTTCGAAAAACTCTAATGCATTGTCCAAGAGCCATAAAAAAATACTTGAAGCGATTCTGCCCATCGATTTCAATAAAAAAAGCCGAGTCAGAATTAGTTATTACCATGTTGTGGCAATACCTGGCCAATTTGACATAACTCTCCTCTGTTGAACCCATTAAATCTTCTAATGCACATTCTTTTGCCTTCTAGGCCTTCTGGTAACTTATAACTACCTCATACTCCCGACGGATATCATTGATGATATCTGTAGGTTTGTAAATCGTCCGTGGGTCCTGAAACTTGTACAGTATCTATCGACCAATAAACCACGATCGAGCTTATCTATGATCATTTTGACGAATACCCACTTCACAAGTATGTTCCCGCGCATACTTGCGAACTACAAAGAACTCATTTGTGTCTCATTTTGTCGCTCTCAAATGCCAACTGCAATTGTTGTCCACACAAATAATTGTGTATGTAGACTTGTTTGATTTTTTTACTTTAAACTTAAAATTATGTCTCATTGCAATTCGGTGCACAGCTTCTTGTAAATCTCTTTTCGTGTCAAACAATTGATCGACATGTAAATCTTCATCATTAGGAACTATACGCGAACAATTAGAAGACCGTGTACTCGGCCCAGCATGTGAACTCCCACCAGACTCATGTCTCTGTCTAGATAAAGCAATCAAATCCTGATTTATAAATGGCCTTTCATCCTCGTTGTCTTGAACTTCCTCGTAAATCCTTTGTGTAATGGTGACATAATGGCGAGTAGCAACTGCCTCAGGAATAACCACATTATCATCACGAGCAATCTCAACAGCATCCCAAAAATCATTCTCGTTACGATCCTCTCCATCGAAAATTTCGTGTTCACCTTCGGGGACATTTTTCTTCAACAAAGTTACGCAAATAGGAGTTGTCTTTCAACCTTGGTTCAATTGAATTACATGTTTTATTTGCACTTCAGAAGTAACCTTCAAAGGTGGAATCGAAATTGTTGAATGCTTTTGAAATAAAAATCTCAATTCCATATCGTACTGAGAGGAATCGACGTTAAGCATATTTTCTATTTCATTGTACATTTTCGTAAACGATGTATTTTTTGTTATCGAAATAACAGCAACCCCTTCTCCTTCACTCGTCCATTTCCATTCCCATTGACCATTTTCTTTTCTTTGAAATTTGTCGAAGTAACAGATTGGGACACGTGCTTTTACCATACCTGCATTACGAATTAAACAATTATCAGCGACATCATAGTAATCATCAAAAATATACTCAAGCTCATTGTTCTGGAAGTGTTCCATAGTTTTTTATACTATAGAACACAATTAGTAACAAAAAAAGAATCGGTAATAAAATTTAATTCGATTATTTATTTGAATAATTTGAATTACTATTTAATTCGATTTTTCATTTCACTATTTTTTTAATTAATTATCTTAATTCGTTAAGTAAGAAAATAATCATTCAATTTAATTTATTCTTTAAATATTTCGTTAATTACGTATATTATTCATTTCATATTTAATTATTCTATTTCGATTATTTATTTGAATAATTTGAATTACTATTTAATTCGATTTGTAATTTAACCATTTCTTTAATTAATTATCTTAATTCGATAAGTAAAAAAAATTATTCAATTTAATTTATTCTTTAAATATTTCGTTCATTACGTATATTATTCATTTCATATTTAATTACTCAATTTCGATTATTTATTTGAATAAAAATAATAATATTTAATTTGATTTTTCATTTCACTATTTCTTTAATTAATTATCTTAATTCGATAAGTAAGAAAATTATTATGCAATTTAATTTATTATTTAAATATTTCGTTAATTATGCATATTATTCATTTCATATTTAATTATTCTATTTTGATTATTTATTTGAATAAAAATAATAATATTTAATTCGATTTGTAATTTAACCATTTCTTTAATTAATTATCTTAATTTGTTAAGTAAAAAAATTATTATTGAATTTAATTTATTTTTTAAATATTTTATTAATTATATATATTATTCATTTCATATTTAATTATTCTATTTCGATTATTTATTTGAATAAAAATAATAATATTTTATTCGATTTTTCATTTTACTATTTCTTTAATTAATTATCTTAATTGGTTAAGTAAGAAAATTATTATTCAATTTCATTTATTCTTTAAATATTTCGTTAATTATGTATATTATTGATTTCATGTTTAATTACTCTATTTTGATTATTTATTTGAATTAAAAAATATATTAATATTTTCATTTAAATATTTCTTTAATTAATTATATTAATTGTTTCCATAATTAATTCACTAAACATATATTTATTATTTATTTCGTATATTTAAGTCAAAAAAAATTAAATTTCTATTTAATCTATCTTTAAATTTCGTTCATTATCTTAACATATATATTATTTATTTCATATTTAATAACATTTTTTAACATAAAAATTAAAATTGATTCAGAAATTTTTTAAAAAATAATCGGGTCCGGATCCAGACCAGAACATGGTCCGGAACGGACCATATTGTGGTCCATTACGGACCATTTTAACGGTCTGTATGGTCCATAACGGATCATAATTCGTTTCAGCGATCGGTGCCGGCCTTCACTTCGATTCTAATATTATTTTCTCTACCATTTAAAAAAATATACGACTTCAATAAAAACAAAATTAAATACTAGGAAAAGATACTTACCGAATTAAAGTGCTGAAATTTAACGAAATATTTTTGTTGAGGTTGATAACTGATAAGTTTATGAAATTTTGAGGTTGAAGTGGATGAAAAATAAAAGAGTTTTTATCGTATTAGAGTAAACTGATGAAAAAGAGTGACTTCGTTTTCAAATCTCAATTAAGAGGTGTTTAGATTTTAATTTGTAACTTAAGGATATTTTGGTCTTTTTAACAGATTTCTATTTTTGTAATTGAATAACTCATTTAAGGGTATTTTTGTCTTTTACACAAGAATAGGCCTTTGTGGTGAATGTCAATTTTTTTTTTTGTTAAAGTGGAAAATTGGTTGTTTGACATGGCTAATATTAAAAGTACCCCCTCATTCTTAAGGCACTATTTGATGTATATTGAAGGACCATAAAGCAATTTCCTAGTTTTTCCTTAAAAAAAATGAATAAATAAATAAATAAAATGAAAAACTGATTTTCTTCTTCCTCCACCTTCACCCAATCGCCCCCCCCCCCAATGTCTAGTCCTTGTCCCCATCATCAAGTACACAATTCTGTTATCCATATCTCACAGCCACTAAACTGCACCTGCACTCGCTCCACTGACACACATGTGCTTCATCTGTGGAATGGGAGGGAAATCTTCCCCTATTTAACTAAATGGTTGAACCCCAACCTTAAGGGCCCTCACTACCCCGTCCCTAGAGATTTGTGAGGGAGGTAAATCGTGAGATATGTCCCAACAGGTCAGAAAACAAGAGTTATCTGTACACTACGCTTACAAGAAGTCCAATTCCATGTCTCAGGAATCGAACCCTCATACTACGGCTGTCAACAAGGTATGAGATAACCTCACTCCTATCCTTTGTACCACTGGGTTATGCCTCGGGAGGCTCTCCTATTTAACTCAATGCTGGTCGTATTGTGCATGCCTTTTTGAAAACATTGATCCCCTATCTCCCTCATAGACAAACTTGCACACCCTTGTTCTTAGAACGGCAACAAAAACTTGTTGTAAAATTTTGTTTTGCAAGTGTACGACTCGTAACAAGTAATAGTGGACCTAAGAGTCTGGATTGTCGATCCCACAAGGACTATTTTCTAGCACTTAATTCAATTTTTCTTTAACTACTATTTGACTAAAACAAATTAAAGGTTGTAAAATCTGGGTTTTAATCTAAATTCTAGAAAATAAATGAATGTTCACACGATTGGTTGGAGAGTCAAATAATGAATGGATGTTAGGGTAGAATAACTTCACCAATTGATCACTTTTACATCTCGAATTAAAACTCAATTCTAATGTAGTGCTCGGTCGAATTCTGCTATTGTATTCAATTTACCCCTCTTTAGTTCTCATTGAGCCTATTCAACTAATTAAATTTCATATCTTTATACAAATTCAACTTAGTTAAACGAGTTCTATGTCCTAGGAATTCAATTATGACGGCAATAAATGGTATAGGTATCTCTACTCGTTATACCAATGTACTGAATTTTACTACATGGTCTAAATCCTAAACTCATATCTCTATTTGTAAAGAATTCGCAAAAATCATCAAATTATTGATCAGATAATTTAATGCATTCAACTCATAGCAAAATCAACACATGAAAAAATTAAAAACATGAAAATCTTAATAAGAGAATGTAAAATATCCCAATTGGTGTGTAAAATATCCCAATTGGATACATCATTCCCCCTAACAATGAATTTAACTACTCATAATACAAGAAGAGAAATAGGAAATTGTCTTAGAATACATCACCGAATTTGTTATAAAGATGTAGAAGAAAACGTAAAATTCTTGCACCAAGATCTCCTTCTCCTTCCAATGAATGCTTCAATCTTCAATTGCTTGGGGTTAATCTTCTTGAATTTCTCTTTTCAATCTCCCTTCTTGTTGTCTTCTCTCCAATATGTCCCAAGAACGTGGATTGATCCCACAGATTTTTAATGTGCGGCTCTCCCCTAATTTAGGTCTTCAATTGTGTATTTATAATGTCTTGGAGTTTAGGGAAAGATTTGGAGATGAGTTGGACCGAGAAAGAATGGTAAAAACCTAAAAAATTACTCCCGCAAGGCAGCGCCTAGGCACTATGATTTGGACGCCTGGGCGCTGCGATTTGGGTGCTTGGGCGCTGACTTTCTGTCAAAATTTCAG